CCGATGTACCAGCCGGTACTCGAAATTTCGACTGGTACACCGAAATTTGACTGATACACCCGAAATTTGACCAAAACAAAATCTTAACTTATTCCGTTTCGGTTAACCTTCAAAACCGGTACGTATCGACCGTACCGATCGGTACGATATTGACTTCTTTGGTTACCATATTTGTTTGCAATTCATTTATGCTTAATTCAGCTAAAGTTTACATTTAACTCTTTACCTTAATAAATTTAAAATAAATTTAAAGATTTTAATTATTTATTTTATATCATGAAGCTTTTAACCCTTAAACTTAAAAATTTTAAGGTTTTAACCCTTAAACTAACGGAATCTTTAACTCTTTAAGGTAAAAGTAAAATATTTATAAAATTAGTCTTTAAAAATTAAACATATGATAATTTAGTCCCCAAATTTTAAAATTCAAAAAATTGTTAAATTAAAAATAATTAGTAGATGTATATGCCACATACACAAAAATAGTATTAGATATTTATAATAAATCAAGTAATTAGTTTAATTTTAAAAAGGAATTTTAACTAAGAGTAAAAAGTTTATTAATGGAATTAAGACAAAAAGTCCAAAAGATTAAAAGAATATAACTAAGAAATTTTATTTAATCTTGGTTAGATTTTTTTTTTTAGATTAATCTAATCACTCAATTTAATTGTAGGTATCTAATATTGTTCTTATATAAGTGACAAAGACATTCATTAATTATTTTTAATTTATTTTTATTTTAATTTTTAAATTTTGGGACTAAATTGTTAAATTTTAACTTTAAAAACTAATCTTGTAAATATTTTATTCTTATTTTAACATTTTAACGGAGAGTTAACCATTAGTCTTAAAGTTAATGGATTCCATTAGTCTAAAAGGCAAAAATTTTTAAATTTTAAAGTTTATGGGTTAAAAACTTTATAATATAAAAATGAGGAGTTAAAACCTTCAAACTTATTAAAGTGAGGAGTTAAAAGAATATTTTAACCTACTTATCCCCATCTTATCTTTGTTTTCTTGTGTTGCTTATTTCCTTTTGCTTCTCTAGGGAAAAGAGGGAAAAAAAAAAACAAAACAAAACAAAAAACTCGAAAAACTCCTTTGCTTTGTGGCAAAGCCTTGTTCTTAGCCTTTCTATTGATTAGCCAACAACTAATATGAGACTGGAGTTCTAAGGCTAGTTGAGTGGCTGCAAATTCTTGGATAATTAGGTTCTTGCTATGTGGTGGCAATGGTACTTCTAGGGTCTGCAGTGCACTTGAGGTTAGATGGTGGATTACAGTGCACTTGCTGGCTTGCGGTTTACCTTCGATGCATACTCATTTTAGGTATGCTGTAATAAAGTTGTACATAGGCTAATATAGGCATGTAAAGAGACCATGAAAGGCCAATCATGGAGTAACTTAAATAAGTTTTGATGAATAATTTTGAGATGAATAATTTTGAAATCAACACATCTAAGATCTTACAAACCTAAATTGATGTTATTTTGAAACTCATGTTTAAATTAAAATAACATTATTTTGAGACTCATATGTCTATAAATTAAAATTATTGTAGTTTTGAAATCCAAACACACAAAATAATATTATTTATTTTGTAAACTTCTAATTTTTAAGAGAATGAACTACTATGCACTTTGCTGTTTTCGTTTTCTGTAGGAGTAATAATTTTCATTTCACTTTAACGAAAAACAAACAAAGAAATAAGTTAGAAGGTATAAGAATTTAATTGCAATAAGAATGATTGATTGAATTGATCTTGAAAGATCAAGGACCATCAATACATTTTACCGCTAGAGGAATAGTTGTCAAATTAAAAAAGGAAAGAATGAAGTCTCATAAGAAACGCTCCCACCATGTAATTGGTGGAATGGAAAAGCGAGCGTGTGAATGGGACCAGTCGAGATCAAAGAGCTTGTAGTGTGATTTTTGAGATTTAAGTTAGGTGGAAAGCATCTTCTTTACGTTTGTGTGGCAAATGACAATATCAAGACCTGAATGTTAATCGAATGATGATTCGTGCAGATTGAAATTCTATTTTAACTTTTGTTTTGTTTTGTTTAATAATACAAGTATTTGGCGAATTAATTTTATGAATACAGCGCAAATGATCACATTCATAAATATTAGATAATGTTTTTTAAAGATATTGAACTGTAGCACTCTGTTTTAAAACCCGGTTCGATGATTGATCAGTTTTAACCATTAGGTTTAGTTCAATTGGTTTAACTAGTTCAATCGATTGATTCAAACGGTTATTTAAAAAAATTATTTTTTAATATTTTTATTAGATTTTACTTTTATATATTATTTTTATTTTATTTTTAAAAAATAATCACCATAAAATTAACTTGAAATTCATCATTTAAGCAACTCAAAATAATAAATTTAATTAAATATAAAAAATTTTTAAAATTTAAATTAATAAATATTAAAATATATAATATAAGATAAGTTCACTAAAACATAATAATAAAAGAGAACTCAATTTTAAACTAAATTCACTACAAAATAAAACTTGAATATAATAAAAAGTCTCAAATCAAATCCATAACAAAGATGAATGTCAAATAAATAAAGGGACATTACTAATTCATTTGTTTTGGCCTAAATGAGAAGCATCTTCATCAAAATAAGTATTTAGCTCTCGGAAGTCATGCTCACTGTAACTATCTTATTAAAATCAAATGCCCAAGAGGAGAGAATGAGTCATGAAGTCACGGACTGCCTTTGCTGGGATGGTCTGTTTGCTTTACTGCTTTTATTTGGTTTGGTGAAGGAAAGGAAGATGAATGGTGGTGGTGTGAGCAAAATCAGTTGGCGATGTGAGCAAAATCAAGGGATGATTTGTTATGCTTTGCTACTTCTGTTTGGGCCGGTAAAGGAAAGGAAGATGAGTGGCAGAGGCGTGAGGCTGTGAGCTTTATCAAGATGCTACCCACGGATGAGAGGTGCTGAGCTGCCGATGGCCCGATGGAGATGCAGGGAGATTAGGCTACTTTGTTGCTTATGTTCAATTTAGCGAAGGAGATGAGGCCGACGAAGGACTAGTGAGTGAGATGCCGACGGAAGTCGAGCAGGGAGATTAAGTGCTTTGCTGCTTCTGTTCGGTGGTGGAGATGCCGACAAACTCACGGAGATGGAGCAGGGATGAGGGAAAGGGATGCCGATGGCCCGATGATGTCTTCTACATTGCAGTTCTACTTCTACTTTCTAATGTTGCTCTTCTCATGTTGTTTTAACATAATAGTCCCTTCTTATTGGGGTTTTAAATTTAATTTAAATGTAAATTTAAAGTTTTTAATGTAATACCATTAAAAAGATAAGATAAAATAGGTAAATCACATTTAAAAAAAAAAAAAGAGATAATAAAGGAGATAATAGTTTCTACCCAACGCGAGTGGAACAGTCTAGGTATTTGGGCTGGGTTAGCGGCTTAAATGGGTTTGAACGGGTTAACCTTCAAAATGGGTCAATGCATGAAACCGACTCCTTTTTAAGCCTAGGTCCGGTTGAACTGATTCAATTGGATCGGACCGGGCCAAGTTTTAAAACCATGGTAGTACTTGACCTTTGAGACCAAAAAATTACAAGTCATATTGAATGGTACATCTCTGATTTTTAGTTTAGATTTGAATCCTTCCTCCTTAAAATTGTAATTTATTCAAAAAAAATGTAATTTATTAAAACTATTGACACTTAATTATAACTTTAACATTTGAGTCAACTCTAAAATTACTCATTTTTACTAGATTTTGTTCCTTTCTAAATACTGTTAGTAATTAAGTAATATACAATCATATTATTTGTGATAATTTTTTTTTTTTGTTGAGCATGTATAACTCACAGACGTAGGTGAATACACAACAGGGAGACAAATTTAGAGCATGTATAATGAGAACAATAAAAAATTTTATTTTGGCATCACATTATCATAATTAATGTTATCCATCTATCTATATATATATAATGTTATTTTATGCATTAAGTAGAGTATGCAAAAAATATATAAAAATTATATTATTATCATAAATAAATAAAAAGGAAAAACTATAAATGATAATGAAGGCAGTAAATGAAGAGGCAAATAAATAAAAATATGTAAATGATAAAAAAAAATTTGATTAATGAATTAATGTGGTAGATTAAAAGGCAACCAAAGAAGAAAAAATGCAGCTATACCCTATGCATTAAATAGGGTATGCAAAATATATATGAAAATTATGTCATTATTATTATTAATAAAAAAAAAGAAAAAATTATAAATGGTAACAAAGGTGGTAGATAAAGAGCCAAATGAATGAAAATATACAAATGATAAAAATAATTGGTTGATGAATAAATGTGGAAGATGAAAAAGCAACCAAAGGAAGAATAATTAGAAAAAAAAATTATCCAACAAAAAAAAAAAGATAAAGATTTAAACTCTCTACCTTTTTGTCATTTTTGTTTTGCTTTAAAGATTTTTTTAAATCCAAAATTCGGTTGCAAATATAGTTGCTTAGACTTCTTTTTCTCAATATCCATAGGTATTTGATTTTAACCACCAATTTTTTTTCCCCTAATTATGTTACATCTTTTCTTTTATTTTGAATTACTTTGTTGTTAAAATTTTAAAAAAGGTTAAACCCCCAATTTAGTCCCTCAACTATTGTACGAACCCTTGATTTAGTTCCTATTATTTATCAATTTGACCCAAAATTGGTTCTTCTGTTAAAAAATAGCTAATATGTTTGTTACTTAATGGTAGAAAATCGTTACTTAACTATCACGTGTCACATTAATAATGAGACAAGTCATATGTTTTTGTATGAAAGGACCAACTTAGGCTACATTGGTAAACACTAGGGACCAAATCATGGATTTTTTTAGTTCAGAGACCAAATCAAGGGTCCGTACAATAGTTAAGGGACCAAATTGAGGATTTAACCTTAAAAACTCTAAGGGTAAATCAATTGCAAAGGATATGAAATATATATTTCTTGATCAACTTTCACTTAGCAAAGAAAATTGGAAGATTAAACTGCGAATATGTAGATTGTGGAATTTTTTTAGTTTGAAACATGACAAATCCCATCTAACAACAAAAATAGTTTTGGCCCATGAAAAAGTAATTTCATGAGTTATTACATTTGATCTTTTAGACATTTAATGATTTCTATTAATAATAGTTATTTGTTTGTAAAAAAATTCTATTTATACTAGAATTTTATTTATACTAGAATTTGGAGTTCCAATACTTTACGATTCAAGAGTAAATCACTTGAAGGGAATGTTTATTACATGAAAAATTTTTCTATGAAAATAATAAGGACACTTATTGTGTTATCTTTTATAACAATTATATAATCCAATTTTATCTTAATTCTATTGTCAGGAAATTGAGTAAAGAAGTTGCAGCAATTTTGAGATTTGTATTTGAATTTACTAATAATGAGAACCTATTCAAGAAAAAAGAAATGCCTTTGTAGTATTTGTGTTTTTTTTTTTATTATTATTATCTTAAAATAATTTTATTATATGAATATGTGACTCATTTTTATTGAAAATACTTTAATCACTAGATGTTATTAGAGTTTTAGTTGGTATTGGAACTGTACAAGAACGACAACCAAATGGTAGTGATGTTATTTGCACGGACTTATATATTAAAGGTTAAAGATAAATCATATTGAAGTTATTGCATAAGTCTATTTAAATTTCATTTTTCTTCAATTGAATGACATATGATATTTGATTAATTAATTATAGATAATTGTTTGATATTGTTTTATATTTATTGAAGCAAAAATCGCTTGAGCATGACAGTTTGGTTTTCTATGGTAAATCAATTTGAGTAAATAAGATTTTCTATTAATTTAAATGTGAAGATTATTATTTTCACATCTATGATTGTCAAGGATAATAGAGATAAGTATATAATAAAGTTTATAGTTTTTTATTAAAAAAACACAAATTGTGTATCTTAATTTTTAAATAAACCATTTTTCAGGTTAGGAATTTCATTGTCACCTCTAAATCTGCAAAGATTTATATGAATGATAATATTACTGAAATAACTACCTTGAAAAGAAGTATTGAGTAAGAGATGATGTAATTTTATAAATTTAAAATTATTTAAGTGTTAACATATACAATTTTAAAATGTTATTTGCAAAGAAGCAAGATTAACTTCCAATGTACAACTAATTGTAGCATGGAATAATAACAATGATATGAAAAATGTCACACATAATGTTAAAATACATGATATGTTGGATATTGTTAGAATGACACATAAAATGGTTTTTTATTGTTAATAATTATTTATTATTTTAGGAGAAGATAATTTTAATAAATACTAAAATTAACAAACTTCAATAAGAAATGAATAGTGGTATGCATCATGTTGGCAGATGGTGTGCTAAATGTTTAAAGAAAGTTAGATACCTAGTACCTAGGTAAATTTATGATAATGAAAATAATTTTGTATTTTAAAATAATTTTTCTTTTTTTTAATTAATTAATTTTTTTCCCACTTGAATCCTAAGGTATCATTTGGAATTAGTGGTTGATGATAATAGTGGGGAGACAATTTTTGTTTTATATGATGATATTGCTCTTAAACTAATACAACTTAGGGCTGTGGAAATAATTCATAAACACAATATTAAAAGTACTTTATCAATGTAATTTAAATCTATTAAATTTGATAGATGTGAATGCAATTAATTTTTTGATGTTTCTAGAATGATGATGAAGAATATCAACTTCCTCTAGTGTTGTTTAATTTGATAAATGCAGCTCATGTATTTTAATTAAAGGCAAGCAGTTTCAATAGAGTTAATGAAGTTGAGTCTCTTATTATTAACAGAATGCTTTTGATTCAAAGGTAAATTTTATATATATTTGTAAAAACAATAAAATCTAGTTTATATTTCTTATTCACTAAGACTTAATATTTATTCTTTTTTTATTGTAAAACATGGAAATACCATATCAAATGATAATACTAAAATTAATTTAGGAACATCAAATGAAATTGGATAGTTGTAAGATTCATCGAGTAAAGATCTAACAAATGTGCATGACGAAGTGAAGTCTAAAAGAACTTGATAAAGAGAAGAAGATTTTTGAATGAATTTTATTGAATTTTATTTTATATTACTTAAAGATGTATATATATATGGATAGTGATGTGTGCACACCCGGATCCCACACCCGGGTGTGCACACACCAAATAAAAAAAAAAAAAAAAATACCCATCACCCGATCTAACTTTTTTTTTTATGTGGGGGTGCATATCCGGGTGTGAGATTTGGGTGCGCACCAATCAGTGTCCATATATATATATATATATATTAAACTCAAAGAAGAGAAAGGGATGCGCCTTTTAATTTTCTTTTTGATGTGAAAGATAAATTTACATAATTATGCTAAACATTCTTAAGATTACATGTTTAAGATTACATGTGTTATTGTTAAATAGAAAACTTAAAAAAAAAAAAAAAAGTATGCGAGAGTCTAATTATTATTATGAAAATGCAATAATCAAGAAAAACAAAAAGATGAAGAGTGTACACAATTACCAACTAATTTCAAAGGTAGTTTTAATTATTTAATTATGATCTTGACTAAAAAATCCTTATAAAATTTAAGAGTTGATAAAATATAGTGCAAAATTTAATATGAAGAGCTAAAAAATAACTAATGCATAACTTGTGCACAAAAATAAAAAAAAAATAAAAATAGAGAGGATACAGTAAAAAATAGAAAAACAAAATGTATCAAGTGGTTAGAAAGCTTTAATTAAAATTTATTTAAAAATTAATTAAAAAACATAACCATAATTATAATTACTATATCATAATTGAAAATGAAAAAGTTTTATTTCATTTTAATTTAATTAATTAATAAAATTAATTAAATGAGAAAATAAAATACAAACTATAACCTAACTAATAATGAATGAAATTAAAAGAAATTTTAATAGAAAAAATAAAAAATTATATTCATTGTCAATATAGAAATGACTGCAGAGTGAAATATATTCATTGATATATATGTACAATTATGCAGAGAAACAATCAAACAAAATTTGGTGTTGGTGATATATATTTGTATTCATCCATTCATGAATGTCTATAACTTTATTTTAATTCTTTACTTTTTAGGATAAGTTCATTTCCTGATGGTAACTTAGAAACTAGAGACAGATAGAATACAATAAAGATTCTAAAAACAAAAAGTATAGAATAGTTAAAAAGTTTTAATTAGGATTTAGTAAATGATAATGATGATTGAAAATGAAGAGCCATAATTCCTATATATAATTTAAAACTAATAATGAATGG